CACAGCAGTGCTGCTGGAGTTTTTAAACACTGTGTCCACTCACTGTCCACTCTATTAGACACTCCTACCTTGTCAGTCCACCTTGTAGATGTAAAGTCTGAGACGATAGTTCATCTGCTGCTGCACAGTTTGTGTTGGTCATCCTCTAGTCCTTCATCAGTGGTCACAGGACGCTGCCCACAGGACGCTGTTGGCTGGATATTTTTGGTTGGTGGACTATTCTCAGTCCAGCAGTGACACTGAGGTGTTTAAAAACTCCAGCAGCACTGCTGATCCACTCAGACCAGCGCAACATACCCTAACACACCACCACCACATCAGTGTTACCGCAGTGCTGAGAATGAGCCACCACCCAAATAGTACCTGCTCTGTGAGGGTCTATGGGGGTCCTGACCACTGAAGAACAGGGTAAAAGGGGGCTAACAATGTATGCAGAGAAACAGATGGACTACAGTCTGTAACTGTAGAACTACAAAGTGCACCTATATAGTAAGTGGAGCTGAGAAACAAGGAGGTGGTCATAGTTTTATGCCTGATCGGTGAAATTAAGTGAAATTAAAGATCCAGCACTTTCCTGTTAAGTGGGGTTAATTTAACTGACAAATGCTACAAAGCCTCTGAGACTGACTTCAGAACCACCTTGGAGAAATATCATCCTACCACACTCCCCACAAGCAGTGACAGTAGCATAAGGTCTGGACTTGCAGTAACGTGGCAGCTGCTCAGCCTCAGGCCTCTTCTCACCAACCTCGAGAACATCTGAGAGAAACACTTTCAGCTCATGATAATTAACATGGCACCCCACTATTAAACCATACAGGGTCCCTCACCACTTAGTTTGCAGAAGTGATTTTATCAGTAGAAAAGCAATTTGTATGGTCAGATCAGGAAAAGTGGAACATGACGACTCAATTGGGGCTTCAGACGAAAGTATTCAGAATCTTCATCCCCACCAGGTGGTTTGTCATATGGGGTGATGGATGTACTTTAAAAATTTCATTAGTTTTTTCACAGCATACCAGGTTCTTGTTTGAGGAGTGAGGCAAATCTCTCTGCCATCACTGCCATGCACATATTTTGATGACATAATACGGTTCATGTATTAAGAGAGACAAGCTTTGGTGTAAATATGACACAGAAATAATGTGCGAACTGTGATCTAATAAGTTCAGCACAGAGAATAACTTGTAAACAAGTATTCAGACACTTTTGTTTTTATTATTTAACATACTTTCAGTGCAGATGTCCACAAATTTACTAACGTAATGTCTTTTGACTAGACGTTTTCGAGTAGACGTCACAAATCAATAACATTGGTTGGCAATTTTAGCTTTGTGACACGTACATCAAGAAGTAATTGGCGTTTTGCAGCACTGTGGTTCAATTTGGCCTGTTCCTCTGTCTTTAGTTCCCCTGGGTTACGAGGGTCCCTCTGATGGACCTCCTTAAATCTTTACTAGGATTTATGTCAAGAGATTGGCTAGGCCATGCAAGCACTTTCACCTATTCTAGAAACCAGTCTTGAGTTATTTTGGCTTTGTGTTTGGGGTCATTCATCTCATTTATTCTCTAGGTCAGTGAGAATAAATTCTCTTTTAATATCTCCTCTATTCATGTTTTCTTCATGTATAATGCTCCACTACTGTTTACAGAGAAGCAGCCCATCAAATGATGCTACCACCTTCATGCTTCACTGTGGGTGTTCTTTGGGTCGCATGCATGATGAGCTGAATTTTTGCCAAAGAGTTCTAGTTTTGTTTTTTCTGACCACTGTTCCAAAACACTTCTGATCTGTCTGAATGCTTGGGTGCATATTTTAGATGTTCATCTCTGTTTTCTCTTTAACAGGGGTTATGCGTGGGGTGTACTGAAGAAGACGATGGGGTGCAGTTCTTTGCTTATAGATCTCTGTTGTTGCTGCTGCTTTCAGCTCATCCTGCACCTCTTTAAGTGACTGCTAGCATCACTCTTACCTTCCTTATCATTAGTCTGAGACTGCATTGGGAAATCTCAAATTAGGGCAGGATTTGTGTGATTAGTTGTTGCTCCATGAACTTCCCACTTGCTTATTATTATTAACTAATAATACTGACAGTGAGTGTTTAAGGCTTTGTTAAGGCTCTGTTGCTTTGGCCATTTCAGTGCTCTTTATTAAAGTTGTCACCAAGAACTTCAGGAAGCTCATTTACCTTCACCTTTACCATGATTGCCACTTGTTGCGTAAAATATTGTCAACCAATGGCAACGTCATTTGTAATGATACAAGTGTGTGTGTGTGTGTATATATAAGCCCCATTTCCAAAAAAGTTGGGACGCTGTGCAGAATGTAAATAAGAATAGAATGCAATGAAACCATAAGGAAAATACTAAAAAGACCACATATCAAATGTTGAATCTGAGAAATTTTAATCATTTTTAGAAAAATACATGCCCATTTTGAATATGATACCAACAACACACTCCAAAAAAGTTGGGACGGGGGAATATTTACCACTGTGTTTGATCACCTCTTCTTTTAACAACACTTTGTAAGTGTTTGGGAACTGAGGAGACACTGCTGTAGTTTTGAAAGTGAAATGTTTTCCCACTCTTGTTTGATATAGAATTTCAGCTACTCATCAGTTCGGGGTCTCCTTTGTCATATTTTTCATTTCAAAATGTACCAAATGTTATCAGTAGTGACAGATCTGGACTGCAGTCAGGTCAGTTTAGCACCTGGACTCTTTTAATATGGAGCAATGATGCTGTAATACATGCAGAATGTGGTTTTACCCTGTCTTGCTGAAATAATCAAGGCCTTCCCTGAAAAAGACGTTGTCTGGATGGCAGCATATATTGCCAAAACTTGTATCTATCATTCAGCATTAATGGTGCCTTCACAGATGTGCCAGTCACCCATACCATGTGCACTAATGCCCCCCTATACCATCATGAATACTGGCTTTTGAACTGTGGACTGATAACAAGCTGAGTGGTCTTTAGCCCGGAGGACACAGTGTCCATGATTTCCAAACCACAGGACAGTTTTCCACTTCCCCTCAGTCCATTTTAAATGAGCTCAGGCCCAGAGAAGGTGTCAGCATTTCTGGAACCTGTTTATGTATAGTTTCGTCTTTGCGCTTTAGATTTTTAACATACATTTGTGGATGCAGTGATGAACTGTGTTCACAGACAGTGGTTTTCAGAAGTGTTTCTGAGCTCATGCAGTGATTTCCTCTACAGAATCATGTCTGTTTTTAATGCAGTGCTGCCTGAGGGCCCAAAGATCACGGCCAGCAAATACTGTTTTTTGACCTTGTCCCTTACATACAGAGATTTCTCCAGATTCTCTGAATCTTTTAATGATATTATGTACTGTAGATGATGAAAAGCAAAAGTTCTTTGCTATTTTATGTTGAGAAACTTTATTCTTGAATTGTTGCACTATTTGATCGTGCAGTCTTTCACAGAGTGGTGATCCCCTCCTCATCTTTACTTCTGAAAGACTCCGCCTCTCTGAGATGCTTTATGATACCCAATCATGTTACTGACCTGTTGCCAATTAACCACCAGGTGTGTTTTTTTAGCATTACACAACTTTACCAGTCTTTTGTTGCCCCTGTCTCAACTTTTTCGGAATGTGTTATTGCCATCAAATTCAAAATGGGTATATATTTTTCAAAAAACAATAAAATTTGTGTTTCAATATTTGATTTGTTGTCTTTGTACAATTTTCAATGAAATATAGAGTTTAAATGATTTGCACATCATTGCATTTTGTTTTTATTTACATTTTGCACAGCATCCCAGCTTTTTTGGAAATGGGGTTGTTTTTGTATGTGTATGTATACACACGCATTCAAACACATTGTTGTTTTTCAGTTTTTGACATAATTTGAAAATGCCTGTTGTCCTTTACATTTTGTGTAGATTTCATGATGAAAGAACCAAAACAAACGGCCCAAAATGATTTGGAAAAACGGTTCTGGTTCCATTGACTTACATTAAAAGTAAAGTATGTTTTTTCCTTCTCCTGTAAAATTACCGTTTTGGAGATGCGAGGTTTTGTTCCAACAGCAGCGACATACATGCTTATGAATACATACTTTTTCTCAAAAGGTGTTTGTAAATTTGAATACGTCTGCCAAGTACAGAACGAAAACATTTTTCTTAGGTCATCCAACCCATTATTCATGTTTGGGGGTTTTATCAGTTGCCTGATGTAAAATTACTGACATAAGGCCACATTTCTCTTCTACCATTAACCATTTAAATGTAACTTCAGTCTCAAATCATTAACCAGCTCATTGCTTAAAGTACTTGAGGAAATTCCCCTGAAAGTCCATACAAGGATGTTCAGAGGTGAAGGGAAATCTCTTTCTCTATAATGGTATTTAATAGAACCCCAGGAGTTACAGTGACTTCTGCCACCTTCTGGTAAGAAGTTGCACAACAACCGTGCACTGTGGTGTAGTTCATACTACAACTGTAATATGAACTACATTAGCACAGGGAAGTGACTACTGACAGATATGGAGCCACAAGGCCAAAAGGCCTCAATTAAGGACATGATTAGGGCTGAATAAATATCAAAATCATTCAGTACCGAAAACTGATTCCTGCACAATACTTTTCTGATACCTTTGATTACATTACAAGCTGAAAATGGGTGGGGCTTAAACCAGAAATAAGCGTGAAGAGCTGGAAATGGGTCTATTTAGACCACAACAGGTTACAGAGTAATCAAGAAGTACTGATGTTAATAAAATGCATATGGAACATGACTTTGACAGCCAATCAATAAGACTGACTACTTACGTACTGAGATGTGGCATTGAGTGAGTGATACTGACATTTTTTGGATACTTTTTGTATTGAAGTAATTCAGTTGGTCCCGTAAAACTATCAGATCAATACCCAGTATTATGTTATGACACAAACCAACAAAAGGTCTGATGAAACTAAGATTAGCAGTGAAGTCCACTCCTGAACGGAAAATACAACATTAAAACGTTATCTTCTCTTTTTTGGTTATTTTTATTTCTTTTAGTAACAAAATCAACTGTTGAAGAAACAGTTTCCACTTATCTTCAGAGAAAAAATAGGTAAGAAAACTAAATACACAAGAAAAATACAACTGGAGAGTGAGAGAGGAAGCGCTTCTTAACCACTAGAGGATCCAAATGGGTAATGCTGAGGGAAGTCATGAAGGACTTTGAGGGCCTCATTGTACAGCTCCAAGTCTGGAAAGAGGAAAAAACAATGGAGTGAGTGAGCTAATGCTAAACATACACTAGAAGACTTTAAAAGACTTTGAAAAGACTAAAGTCTGACTAAAGTCTGACTCCCTCTCACACCTAAAGACAATCACAAAGCTTTTATGCTGGCCTTACACCAAACAATTTTTCAAGCGATTTCACTGTCGCAGACAAATTTCCAATGTCGTAATAAATTCATTAGTGTCTTGCTAGAGTTGCATCGCGCTCGCGTCATCTCACTCGTTTGGTATAAGGTGGTCAGGATGACGGTCTTAAGTCAGTCTTCTTCTCGTCTTAACGCTGCGACAAAATCAACCGTGTTTAATATTATCATAAGTTTTAAGTCTTGGCTCATGCAAATAGTGACGTGCCGGGGCGCTTGAGAGTGCTTGCGGGCGGGCGCATGCGCGTGGCGAGAGAGGACGAGAGAAGGCAAGAATGCATGTGTGAGCGCCTGAAATGTCTGTAAAAACGGCAAATCTGCTCCACTTTAATATAATAACCATATTAACTTAAAAGGTAAACGGACTGTTTTAATATTTCAGGGTCACTGAGCGCAACAGTAATGCAAGGAAATGTGCAGAGGACCTTAAGAATGGCATGACTGATTTTTTTATGGTTTAGTTCCTGACACCCAATCGACAATGCTGACTTGCTGCATGTTTGGTTGATGTGTAAATCTTTATATCAAATTTAAAAAGTAGCTGCACATTTTACTGGTTAATTAATACAATTCTGGGTGACGAGCTGCCAGAATATACAGTTCTACAGTGAACAGCTCTGAGCCCCAGATCTTTACATGGTCAGACAACGTATCTTCCCATCTGTACCACTACAGAGTGGAAGGAAAGGTGTTTCTCTGTTTGTAAATTTCCACCAGGTGCCTCATGGGGAATGATCTCAAAAATCTAGTTGCAGTCTTGTAAATAGTGACACTGCAAGATTCCTAGTCTTTGCAAAATCATTGTCTGGGGCTCAGTTCAGTTCACTGTAGAACTGTATATTCTGGCAGATCATCATCCAGAAATTTTTTAATTAACCTGTAAAATCTGCGGTTTCTTTTATATTTAACAAACAAAACATGCAGTGATTCAGCATTGTTGACTGGATATTATGAACTAAACCATAAAAAACTAACAAAGTAAGAAACCACTGTGACAGAGAGCCAAAAAAATGGAAAAAAAAAAATTGATGCTTCTTCAGTAAAGCCATTCTTAAAGTCCTCTGCATGTTTCCTTACGTCACTGTTACACTCAGTAACTTAAAATATTAAAACAGCCAGCTTAAATTTTTAGATTAATATGATTACTGTTTTAAAGTTGAGCAGATTTGCCTTTTTACTGAGATTTCAGGCTCAAACACATGCATTCATTCTCTCTCGGCTCTGGCACGTCACTATTTGCATGAGTCAAGACCTAAAACTTACGATAATATTAAACATGGTTGATTTTGTTGCAGCATCAAGACGAGGAAAAGACTGACTTAAGGCTGCCGTCCTGACCACCTCACACTAAACAACTGAGATGACGCGAGCGCGACGCGACTCGAGCAAGACTCTCATGATTTTTTTTCCGACACCGGATAGTGAAATCTCTTGAAAAGTCGTTTGGTGTAAGGCTGGCATAAGAACCAGTGGTATAATTTGTAAAGATTAACTGCGATCAGTGTGACGGGCCTACCAAACTGAATCCCTTTCTCATCTCTGAACACGCTGTATGTCGTAGCCATGACCGTTCCTTTGTTGGACACCATGCCAATAACTTCAACAATTCCACTCAACTCTTCGTCCAGCTAGGAGGGAAAGACAGGAAATCAGCATGATTAGATTATTACTGAGCAGTCTCAAAATTAGAGGCCATCAAAAGACAAATCACTGATGAACATTATGAACTACAAAAGTTTGGAATCTGTTTTATAAAATTAATATCCAGAATGGCTCCTATTAGAAAAGTGGTGGTCAAATCTCAAGGCAAATATCTAATCAAGAAATAACAATAAATAAGCTTAACATTATATTAATTTACATCACAGAGTTTGTCTGTTTATGATCTTAGATCTGCAGATTCTGTACTTCTACAAATACCCTCTGTAAACTACAGAAAACATGGAGAGACTCGTTCAGTTATTCTGCTTCTAAACTGTGGAGCTCAGATCACCTTTTATTAGACGGTCAAGCTCAGAGCTCACTTTTAAGAAGCATCTAAAAAAGTGTCTCTTTAGCTCAGCATTTAATGGAAACTCTATGTCTCGTGGTGTTTATCTGTAATTTGATCTGTGTCCTTTTCTTATGATTCTAAATAAATACTTATAATTTCTTGTATAACTGTTTTATCACCTGTCTGTAAAGCACTGAGCTGCCACCGGCATGAAACGTGCTATACAAATAAAAATGATTACATTATTATTAAGCTTTTGCAAAAAAAACTTGAAATACTAAAATCTTAAAATTCATTCTGTATCTTATTATATTTCAATCTGCACTGTATAAGTTATAAGTTAAATACTGAACACAATAACAGCAGTTACTATACATTATATATGATGAGTGATTCCAAACTTTTGAACAATAGCTTAAGGGGGAAATTGCATTGGAAAAGCATGTACAGGTTCATTAAGTTCCACTGATATCATCTTCCCCTCTCCGTCGGCCAATGTGAACGACTTTCCAGTTGGATTAACCTGTTGAAGAAGAGACAAGTGCCTTTAATTCAGTTCCACATCTGTATTTAAGTAGTCTACTTGACCTCTTAGTTTCTAATGCTCAGTGTTGCATTATTTATTCATTTAGCTTTTTAGACTCTTCAAACATTTCTTTTAAAATAGTCTGAAACCAACAAATTACCTACACTGCAGTTCACTGTCTGGTCTTGGACAATACTGTGAATGAAACACATGCTAGTCAGCTCTGTCAATGTATTCAGTGACACCATGGGCTTCAGATCAGGCACAATGAAGAAAAGCAGATAGGAAAGGAAATTTATTTCTAGTCAGATGCAGCCCATGAGTGTAAGAGTCAAAAGAGAATTTAAAATCAGTCCATTTTATCAGCTCCACTTACTTTATAGGTGCACTTTGTAGTTCTACAGTTACAGACTGTAGTCCATCTGTTTCTCTGATACTTTGTTAGCCCCCTTTTACCCTGTTCTTCAGTGGTGAGGACCCCCATGGACCCTCACAGAGCAGGTACTATTTGGGTGGTGGATCATTCTCAGCACTGCAGTAACACTGACGTGGTGGTGGTGTGTTAGTGTGTGTTGTGCTGGTATAAGTGGATCAGACACAGCAGTGCTGCTGGAGTTTTTAAGCAATGTGTCCACTCACTGTCCACTCTATTAGACACTCCTACCTTGTCAGTCCACCTTGTAGATGTAAAGTCAGAGACGATAGCTCATCTGCTGCTGCACAGTTTGTGTTGGTCATCCTCTAGTCCTTCATCAGTGGTCACAGGACGCTGTTGGCTGGATATTTTTGGTTGGTGGACTATTCTCAGTCCAGCAGTGACACTGAGGTGTTAACTCCAGCAGCACTGCTGTGTCTGATCCACTCAGACCAGCACAACACACACTAACACACCACCACCACGTCAGTGTTACTGCAGTGCTGAGAATGATCCACCACCCAAATAGTACCTGCTCTGTGAGGGTCCATGGAGGTCCTGACCACTGAAAAACAGGGTAAAAGGGGGCTAACAAAGTATCAGAGAAACAGATGGACTACAGTCTGTAACTGTAGAACTACAAAGTGCACCTATATAGTAAGTGGAGCTGATAAAATGGACAATGAGTGTAGAAACAAGGAGGTGGTCATAATGTTATGCCTGATCGGTGTGGAGAACAGCACTAGCGCCACCTACTGTGTGTTGGAGGGTTAAAGAGTTGTAAAAGGGGGGTCTTACATGTAAGATTCATAAAGAAAACCATCTGTAACGTGAATACAGACACAGACATCCTGGCACTGCGATTTAGTGCGAGATTAGTTTAATCCAGGTCAAGGAAACTGGCTAGACTTAACAGCTGAACAGTTGTAAATCGAAGCTTAAGTTTTCCTATTCGAATTTTCCGTTCCACCTTAAATGGCACAGTAGTAACACTTAAAGACCGCAGGCGACCGCACGTAACTGCTGCACCATTTAAGGTGGAACGGAAAATTAGGTTTGCTCCTAATTTTCCTCAAGTCTGATATGTTGAACTCCTAAGATTTCGCGCTGGTAGAGATACTGTGGTGACCCGAATGATTTAAAAGGACATTTTATTTTCTGGTTTTCTCCGTTTTACCTTCTCCACTCGCCCTACGAAGCACACCGGCTTGTTGACGAACTGCGAAACCATCGCCGCGTTAATTCTGCTCTTCGGAGACTCAAACACGCCCGTCATCTTCAGCTTTTTACAGAATCCGGCGGTGAAAAGTGAAATCAGAAGCTTTTAAAGAAAGACTAAAAACACAAAACCAGCTAAGGCAGAAAAAACAAACCGCGCCAACAACCATCACAATTTTCCCGGCAACTTTTGACGTGTTTCCTTTGCGATGGTCAAAAACGTCTTCCCTACACTTTAGTTCCCACACTTCAACCTGCACAATTTAATCAGTTTAAGATCATATTTAGACTATTTTAACATATAGATAAATTACACTTACAATCCAGCCACAAATAGGTCAAAAATAACCATAACAGGAACATTAATGAATATTTTGGTAATGTTATACAAGGCCCCTGTTGTGTTTTAGATACATGTTTTTAGGTATTTAAGCAAGAAAGTTATTCTTACTTGTTCAGACGTACAATACATAATTAAACGTACAGAAAAATAATAAATATTTATATATTTTTTTATTTATCTAGTTCATTCGTGCCTTGTTTCCAGTCGGACTGTAAAACCGGCGAAACCGAAAGCACCAGTGCAGGAGGATGTAAACAAAAAACTTCAGCAACTTTTCGGGCTCTGAATTTGGGGTAAAAAATGGAGAAATATTAAAATCAGACTACAGCCGATGTCGGCGGAGTGACGCTAAGAGCTGTGTGGAGTTGTTTATCCGTCAGTCGGAGATCCCGTCGCTGTTATTTTAGCTTATTTTACCAAAAACCGTCGCGGTGAGTAACGTTCATGTCAACGCTGGCTTCCTATTCGTCAGCCTCTTGTTCGAATTCCACCGTTCCACCTTAAATGGTGCAGCAGTTACGTTCCGGTGCCTGAGCCGGTTAAGGTGGAACGGGAAATTAGAAGCATAGAAGCGGCGGATAAGAACCTGAATTCAGCTTCGTACGTTGATGGTGTGTTTGTTTCACATCCGTGTTGGAGTTAAACTCGTTTAAACTTTGTTTTTAAGCCTTAAAATCTACATTTACACCTCTTTATCTGTGTGGTTGGTTAATTATTTTTAGGCAGGTAGAGATATACCTAACCCTACGTTAGCTGTTGGCTGCTAAGCTAACTTTGACTCTGTTCTTTTTCCCTTTTTTTTTAGCTTTTTCAGCAAAATGTTGAGTTTCTTCGGGTTTCGGAAGGATTCTGCCAAAAAATCTCCAACTGAGAAAGAAACCGATGGATTTGTCATTGTTGGTGAGTTTTAATACAGACTCAGATTCAGAGCTACATGTGGCTGGTGAGGTTTACAAAACACGGTCATGTTCACACTTAACAGATATGGTTCTGTTAGGGTTCTTCAGTAAAGACAGTGGTTCTATTTAGAACCCTGAGTTCTGTAGCTATGGGACCATTTCGTTTTTCAGATTGATGGAATATGTGTTGTATACACCAATCAGGCATGACATTCTGACCACCTCCTTGTTTCTACACTCATTGTCCATTTTATCAGCTCCACTTACTATATAGGTGCACTTTGTAGTTCTACAGTTACAGACTGTAGTCCATCTGTTTCTCTGCATACTTTGTTAGCCCCCATTTACCCTGTTCTTCAGTGGTCAGGACCCCCATGGACCCTCACAGAGCAGGTACTATTTGGGTGGTGGATCATTCTCAGCACTGCAGTAACACTGACGTGGTGGTGGTGTGTTAGTGTGTGTTGTGCTGGTCTGAGTGGATCAGACACAGCAGTGCTGCTGGAGTTTTTTAAACACCTCAGTGTCACTGCTGGACTGAGAAAGTGCACCTGTATTGTTTTTCTTGAGAAAATCTTCGTTGTTTTCTTACGTAAGCTACACTGGCCCGTACCAAATGACGCAAGACACATTTTGAGTTTCACTTATTTAATTTGATCCGCTCAGAGGAGCAAAACGGAGGAAGAACAAAGTGTACAGAGACGTTTTCTGTGAAGGGTGACATTCTGAATGACAGAAAAGGGAAAAAAGGAGCAAATGAAAGTTAAAAATGAGAGTCAGAGGAACGCAGCTCAGCTCAAGCGTTTTGGTTAATTTTTCTGTGTAAAGCTGAAGCTTTTTCTGATTGTTTTTGTGCCATCATTTGTTAAAAAAGAAAACACAAAACCAAAAGTCTAGTTTTATTTTTCCTGACTTGGGTAAGCTGACAGTTCCCGTCCCACCCCCCCCCCATCAGGGATACAGCTCTACCTCAGTAATACAGACTTGCCATAAGAGGGCATCACAGCAGTGCTTTGTGATTCAGCAGAAAATCCACCACCTGTTGTTGCAGTTCAAAGCTGGAAATGAAAGAAGATTTAATATTCAGATTTTCTTGGCGTTTGCCCTCGTATAGCCTGTTCTTCTCTCAGATCTGTAATCGTATGTCCTTTACCTTTTCCCATGTAGGCCAGAGCAGCAATCTCACATTTCCTTCATGATCAGGGAAGCACATGACCTACTTTACACAACAGTTGGTTCCAGCCACGCAAGCTGATTGGTCGAGAAGCGTTGTAACCGTGCTGTTATTTCACCATAATATCACGGGTTTTTCACAACCACTGTATCACTCCGCTGAGACGCCGTTGCTAAGCAATGACTCTGACAGCTGTAGGAGACGCTCAAGACATTTGAACGTTTTTACTTCTTACTTTGCCACAAACAGCAAATGGATACTTTTAAGATCACATTTGACCGACAGCCGATTTGGTCAGACTCTGAAGATGGGACGACACTAAATTCCCAAACTGTCGTCACCACTGAGCAGCTTTTCAGTCGGCAGCTGTGACAGAAGAACAGCTAAACAACCTGGAATCAGCCAGAAATGAACCCAACACCATTCGCCAAACTAAATGGGCTGTAAGATGCTTTACAGACCGGCTGGAACAAAACAACATTAATACTGATCTGGCAAAACATGACAAAACTGAGCTGAACTTGATATTGCGGCAGCTTTATGGCTCAGTCTGATTTGGTCAGACTCTGAAGATCAGACTATATGTTTGGCGAATGGTATTGGGTTCATTTCTGGCTGATTCCAGGTTGTTCAGCTGTTCTTCTGTCTCAGCTGCCGACTGAAAAGCTGCTCAGTGGTGATGACAGTTTGGGAATTTAGTGTAAGGAGCTGGAGAACGAACTGCCGGCTGTGCAGCGAGTGGGCGGAGTTCGTTACTCTGACGTAGCAACAAGCTGCTCGTTAAGGAACTATAATTTGGTGAAGGAACTGCGAACATTAAAACATATCAAACGCCGCGTTCACAGCCCAGTTTATTAATTGTGTGTTATCGCCAATAACATTACGACTGTGATGATCTATGGCGACCAAATCACAGCCGTGATGTTATATCGCGATAACACACTCCCTCTGTGTTCTATTGCTTAAGTAACTAAAGCAGTGCCCTAAGCCTCATTAGCAAATTGGAGTGGAGTTCTTGGAGTGAAAGAGAAAAGTGGACTGCGTTTCCTTGAAATTCGAACCGTGGAATAATGAAAATGTTGATATAGGGGTCGAATCTCCTACTTTTTCGGCCCCCTCTCTACTAAAAGTGGCATCATTTTCTTTTCATCCTGTGGCTTCAGGCCCGACTGCTCTGCATGGAGCAGCTGCAGATGGCTGGGGGCTCCGTTTGTGTCTCTTGGCCGGAGCTGCGGATTCAGAGCCAGCAGTTTTCTCCCACATGAAGGCAACATAGTAACTTCGTCCTCAGGCATTTCGGGGCATGTTTTTCCAGACACGGATTAAACCCGTTCTCGGACTAAATTGCTCTGTGTCTACTGCAAGTCTCTTTCCAGTCCAGCACCAAGACATGATCTTTCTCAGTCTAAAAAGTCTGGACCGCTAATCGGCCGGCCTGGTAAACAGTACGACTGGGAAAGTATAGCTGATACAACAGCTGAAAGCGAAATTAATCCCAAAGGGCTGAGATGTAAAAAAAACAAAAAAAACAAAAAGTGGTTTGATGTGAAATGATTCACTGTACAGGAACTTACTGACTCAAATTTCTTTACAGTGGTGGTGATAAGAACCAGGGGTTGCCATGACTACAGCACAAACATAGCCATTTTATTTACTATCCAAAACCACCAGTGAACCTAGACATCTTGCGCGGTTTAAAATGCAGTGTTAACGATGGTAAAATAGTGGGAAGTCTGGAAAAAAGGACTGTTTTGCTCACAACACCCTGTGTGTGTAAATGAGTTTTTGAAGATGCAAAAACGTCTCAAAACTACCTTAAACAGTGAGCGCGTTTACATGCTCAACAATCCAATCATAATCGGATTTCTGCAGTTATCTGATTATTCAAATTGTCATGTAAACACCATACTCCGATCTAGAAATCTGATTAGGAAATCTGATAAAGTGAGCTGGGTTTTAGCTCAGTAATCAGATTTCTCAGTGCATGTAAACTCTGATTTCTTTCGGATTTCTCAGTCTGAGCATGCTCGAGATCAGACGGTGGATGTCGCGAGACACAGCAAAACACTGTTGGAGCAGAGCTGAAACCAAACACGAAATAAAGAATTTTAGTATTCTTCATCTTCTAGATGATGTTTGTTCATGTTTTCAGGTAAAGTGGCGCGACGTTTAGTAAAAAGCCGCGGTGTAAAGTTTGAGTTTTACATTACGTTTACGCCACGTCTTCTTCTGTGAGTTTATCGGCTGGTTGTAAAGCAGAAATCTGATTGCTGTCTGACTCACGTAGACCCGGAGTTTCCCCATTATCTGATAAGATAATGAGCATGTAAACGTGTTGATCGGATTACTGACAAAATCGAATTGTCTGCAGTTATCGGATTATTGAGTGCATGTAAACACACTCAATGTCTCCGTCATCAAGCAGCGCATTCATAGTCATTTCGTGTATTAGCTTTTATGAGTATTAAACTCTCCAGGACGTCTGGTTCCTGTCACCACCACGGAACATTTCACACCAAACCACTCTGAGTGACTCGGTTTACACCTTAAACGTTTAAATATGCAGAAATTTGGAAAAATGGATGGAGTTCCCCTTTAACACAAGGGCTTTTGCCCTATGTTCTAACTAAACCATAGCAGACTTACTTGTTCCCCATCCTGTTGCTGCATTTATAACTCGGTTATTTGCGAGATTTCCGATATCAAATTGCGCTTGCGGCGCTGAAACTGTGTAAAAGTGAACTGAAATGATGATAAAACTGTGCTACTTTCATTAGCTGTAAAATATCAGGTTAATGGTATGTAGGTCAAACCCAAATGTATATTTCAACTGGCTTTAATGTGCCACAAAACGGCATTCAAGACGACTGTAGGCCTCGGCCAGGCTAAGAAAGGCAAGCGGATTCCAAATCTCCTGCTGTGAAAGGAGAGAGATATTAAGGTAGAGGGCAGCCAGTTAATGGAATACGAGCAGGATAGAGAGAGAGAGAGAGGGAGGAGATGTCTGGAATAATGTTTTCCTTTTGGTTCTCCATTCTAACTAGAGCTTGTTATTTAGTGCACAATCCGCTGTGAAATCCATTCAAGGAAAGAAAAAAAAGCAAAGAAAGGAGGAAGGAAAGAGCTGCTAACCACGTGTTTGGTAGAGGTCACAGAATCGCCAGTGTAACTCAATCTCGGATTGCAGTTAGTCCTGGATTGATGTTCTGAGGAAACGAGGCTGATTCAGGAGCCCCTAAGACGAGAGGAGACTACACTTTGTGTTCTTTTGTAAAGGAAACGGTTCTATGGAGAAGCTACTGTTTTGCTTTTTGGTTTACTGTCAGGAATCAGATGAAGTATATGATCATGACTATAAGGCTACACCATATATTCTTCCTTATTGTACAATAATAGGCCCGGCCGATCGGGCCATGTAATCGCATATCGTCAGCGATTAACGAGTAACCCGATGGCATGCGTAAAAGGCAATGATCACCAGTTAAACAGCTTGTAAATATGTTGGGAATTGGGATTCACTTTCCTTTAAAAGATGTGCTGGACGTCTAGGACGCTAGAGGGCGCTCCCGAGCGAGTCCAAAGTGAATGGGTTAATATGGAGCATTTGAGCAGAACCATAGTTTATAAACGCTTAAACATTTTAATGTAAAAGAATACAATAATTTCCTGAACATAGAACAGCATAAAACATTTTAACACTGCTGTTATATTTTTAAGAGCTTTTAAGTCAAGTCAAGTCAGCATTATTGTCAATACTACAATATGTACAGGACTTTTGTTAGTCTCAGACCCCATGGTGTAGCAATAACATTAAATAGACGGTAAAC